CGTTCGAAATGTGATGTTACAGACGAATGATGAGAATATCGTGGATAGAGAAGGTTAGAAATGGAGAGATATTAGAAATAATAGGAGAACAGAGGACTCTACGGAAGTTAATAAAAAATAGGCGGGATAGATTAGTAGGACACCTTCTCGGGCATAAACGTCTAGTCAGATACATATTAGAGACAGAAACGGGAGTTAGGAGGGGTAGAGGTAGACCTAGATTAGATTACTATTCGCAAATAGTTAAGGATGTGGGTTGTTCTAGTTTTAGGGAAATACGAATATTAGCTCAGGATTGAAAAGAGTGGAGGTTCGTGTCAAACCAGTCTTAGGACTGACGACCTTATGATGATTTCTTAACTATCAGTAATTTCAAAGAGATTTAATTTTGTCCTATGAGGTAGAGAACTCCGAGAATAGAAAAATAACGCTGCAATATCTTCATTGTTTACAAACGAAATATAGGACCTGAAAGCTTTGAACTGTGAAATGACAATATTAAACATAAGACTGTTTTCCGTACTTCTCGCAAATAATCAGGTACAATTAATGCAATATTGAATTAATTAATTAATAGATAAGTAATCTTAATACCATTATATACCTGTATACTATTAATATTATAATCTCGATCAGATCGCAAGCATATAAATAACGATTGTTGAATTACTAGCCATTGTATAATCTATCCGATCTAAATGGATATTGATCTTAAGTATCGCAAATTGGTTGACGTTGCCAACACTAGCACTGTTTACAAAGGCCACACGGTAAACAACACATAAGCTGTCAATACGCCGGAAGGCGGTGTGAGGGGAATGTTAAGTGAAATTGACTGTAAATTGCCTTATAAAGACTTGTACATTACCAATCATTCAGTATTAGTTTACATACATATATTTAAATTTTGGTACCCGGACTTCTTCAGCTAATTATCATGCAAGGATTGTAACGCTTTTTATGTTGGGCATGATGAGCGTTCCTTAAAAAAGCGGATAAACGAACACATAAACATTATTGAAAATGGAAATAAATGTGCAGGGACATCTCAATATTGCAAAGAAAATAAACGTTCTATAAATATAGATACGCAAGGTAGACGCTTGTACACCCTGGAAATTTTAAAAATTAGTAAAGCCTACACACGTCTCCTTATTGTTAACGAATTAACAGACTATGCATCTCCATTATTAAAGGTCACTACTTGTTCTAAATATACTTAGTTAATAGTTAAGTAACAAGTGTGTAAAGTCTTTTCAGTACCTACACCACAGATACTATTTGAAAATGACTTAAATCGTCAAAATAATTGCCAGAGTTTTTACTAAATTAAAAACAAAAAACTATGAAAAATTTAAATTAAATTAAAAATCCCATTATTTCATCAGACACATGCCGAGCATGCAACACATCTCGCGAAACAATTGACCACATCACTGGGGGTTGCTCATTTTTAGCTAGCCGACAATACCTCGACAGGGATAATAATGTTGCTAAACAGATACACTCGCTGTTAGCCAAAAAGTTTAAACTCATAGATCAGATAGAGCCCTACTACAAATACAAACCACAAAATGTATTAGAAAACCACTTAGCCAAGCTTTATTGGGATAGAGACGTAATTACAGATAAAACAGTTAATCATAACAGACCTGATATCACACTGACCATCAATGAAACTAAAACGACCTACCTAATAGATGTTGCTGTACCAAACACTGAAAATCTTAAACAAAAACATATTGAGAAAATTCAAAAATATATTCCTTTAGCAGATGAAATAAAAGACATGTGGAATCAGAACACAGTTCGAATTATTCCAATAATAATATCATCAATAGGCGTTATACCTAAAACATTACACACTAGCCTAGCTGAGTAGAAACTGCATAAGTTTACGTACATAAGTCTACAGAAATCCGTCATCCTTGATACATGCGGAATACTGCGCAAATTTCTTAACAGTACTGACGTATCCCCCTTTTCAAAAAATATAACAGGTTAAATAAGAAGCGGAGTTTTTAATACTCACTGATCATATTTCAGGGCAAGAAAAACCGTTAGCTCCCCAGTGCAAACTGAGAAAACCAGGAGAATAATAATAATAATGATTTGAAGTTTTTATGTTTGGAAGATCATGCGTCGTTCAATTATGAAGTTTCTGATTAAATTGTTGACATTATATATTCAAGTAATCCTATTGTAACGCAAATCATACATTATGCAGTATTATTGTTTCATCATCATAAGGTCGTCAGTCCTAAAACTGGTTGGACACGTACCTCCACTCTTGCCTATCCTGAGCTATCTTATTGTTTATAAAGTACTTAATAATAAAATTGCAGTTAGATTCACACTCCGTTTGGTTTTTTAAGAAACTAGCAGTTTTTTTATTAGTCAGCTTGAATGGCAGGTTGTTTACTGACAGGTATCGTACGTATATGAATGAGGAGAAAGTGTACGGGGGCCCGTATAACTTTCTTCTTTGCAGCTTTGCAGTTAAACAACACTATTACGCGAATAAATCGTATCAGTCGTAACCTGTTGAGTGATTGATATTGTCGGTCTCGGCACGTAGTCGTTAGTGACCTCGAAATAAAAACACTTTTTACGTTTCCGCATTTTAATAGAACATGCACCACAAGTATCTTACCTACCTACCTTAGAAGAAAATAGTTTCTGAACCGATGAAAATCGTTTCCGCAAAATTCATTGCAATGATTGTTTTTCTTTCATCAACTCTCACAAGAATACCTACATTTTTCTTTTAAAATATATTTCAAATAATACATATAATGAATTGACTTGCCCTGATCCTTGAAAGTTAACATGTGTGGCATAATGTACATACGTCTGCAATTTTATCTTAAAATCTTAATAATCTTCCTATCTTGAAACAATCTTTGCATTTCTGGAAAAGTAGAGCAACTACAACAACTGTCTACGTCTACCTCTCTTAATTCCTGTTTTTTATTTTATCGAATTTGTCCCTAACCTTTACAATGTAGTGTTTCAAGCGTTTTTACCGTGGATGGAGAAGGTTAGATATTAGAAAGAAGAAGTCTATAAGAAACAGGCGAGATAGGTTGGTAGAACTTCTTCTCAGGCATGAAGGGTTAGTTAGAGACAAATTAGAAGCAGAAACAGGAGTTAATAGGAGACCTAGATTAGATTACTGTTGTAGTTTTAAAGAAATGCGAAGATTAGCTCAGAATAGGAGGTGCACCAAGTTAACTTGTGGAATCCTTTTCGGTATTGTGTAGTAGTATAGTTATTTAAAATCAATTATGTGATTGTCAATTTTATAAGATTTTGATTGGCTTTTGGTTTCATCAATCGAAGAAATAGAGCTTGAAAATTTAAACTGTAGTAATATTAATAAAACTCATAAACTATTTTCAAACCAAAGAAGAAAATTACAACAAACTATATTACTTAATTTTTAATAATTAATCAATTTAATTGTCAATTGGTAGTTCAATTGAATAGCAATCCTGTTGTATGTATTAAATATTATAACATGTTCTTAAAGNACCGTACACTCTCGCTTACGCGACTGTTTATCAAACAACATGTGATTCGCGTATTAATAACGTCTCGTTCTGTTGGCTGGTAAAACACGCACATAAATGAAGAAACTTCAGAGTCCTGATGGCACTTTCTACTTATAATAGTATCGCTATTGCTAGGAGGTATCAGCTAAGAGCCTGCACAGAATAATTCCTTCCAACTTGGAACTTGCTTAATTTATTGGTCAAAGTTACTAAAAGCTTGCAGCTAACATGTTTAAGTGTTTATTTACAAGTGTTTTATTATATTCGTCAATAATTATACATTTCTAGGTGTGGATACCTATTGAAATACACAAATGACAGGAAATGCAATTATTTCACACTTCAATATTTTAGAACATACTTTCCAATTTATTCATTTTATTGTCGTACGTGAGTATTTTTAATTTCCTACCCTTCAAGCTTTTCAATTTTTCCTGTTGTTATACCTTCCGGCAATGCGTAAAACATCTTTATGACGACTATTGTTAATACCTACATAGTTGCAATGTAAAAAATTCGGATGAGTTCTCAACCGACTGTAATATTCATGGAATTGTAAAGTAATTGTGAATTTTTACAGATCTTTAGTGTTTTCTAATACTTTTTGTAATTGAACTTCAAAAATTTAACAAAACTACGGTATATAAGTGCTGTGAAACTGTAACTAAATTAACATCTAAAACCCAAAATTTCGCAAAACGTTTAGAAACCTAAAACGCGTCTTGACACCCTGAATCTCTTAACCGAGGGTAGTATTTTGGGTTTTAAGTGTTTATATAATTGAGATGTTTACAAGTGACTGATTTATAAGAGAAAGATCCCCTTGAAGATAGAAAACTTACATTACTTTCTAAAATAGCCACAAATCTATCAACAACTGATGCTAATACAAATTTCATATAAAACTGAAAAATAAAAGTATTAAGAGAGCTAAATTTAAGAACTACATTAAATACATAACTAATTACTTTTGTTGCAAGAGTTATTTGAATTAAAGTAACATTTATGGAAAAATATAAGTACAAGTAAGTCTCATTTACGTAAATATCATGGTAGATAGGTACTAAGAATTTTTCAAAAATTTCCTGATTTATGTGCATTTTTGAGAAAACTTTACTGAAACTAGGCTGGAAGGAATATTTTTGGGCATCATTTATTAAGTTTGAATTACTATCTTGAAGAACTTAAATAATTAATTAAATTAAATATCTGTTAATTTGTGTTTTCTTTTTCCAAACCTTTAATTCTCAGAACTTAATGTTATGTATTATTCGATCTTCCTATTCTAAATTAATTCAACCAAAATTTAAATCTAATGCATAGAGCAAAGGTTAATTTTTGGTATTAGTTAATTCTTAATCTATTAAATAACACATTTTGAGGTACCTATACATTTTTTTAACACATTTATAGTATAAGATTTTAAATTAAAAAAAGATGCAGGAAACTCACTTTATTCTGTACCAAATACAATAACAAAAGTTTTCTTTATACATACAAAAGGGGAAAATTCTTTCGTTTTTCCAGTTTTTTCTCCAGGAGTCTGTAATGCATTCATTTTTAACTATATTCCTGCCTACAAAGAGTGAAATACTTCGCCAAACGGCAACATTATCTTTTTTGTTTCATTCTTTGAAATTGTCCATCAAATCTGCTAGAAAAAGAAGGGTTGAACCTAACAAAAAGGCTCCACTTTGTTCAGAACCGCCCCACCGAACACCCTCACCGACGTCTTCGTCCAACTTATCAGTACATTTATATCACCTAGAGGCGACCCATTTCCCAATGTGCACTCATTAAAGCTGAGACGTACTAGTTGATAGCCCAAGGACTTTTTAATTTCACTCGTAGCTCTTCTGGGACGTTGGTATTTCGTCTTTTTCGATGCAACTGACATCGTGTCTGCGTTAATTTCCTGCGACATGAATTTTCCGAAGGGGTCTGTGTACTTTCCATCGAATGAAATAGCTTCCGGTGAATGCAGAGGGGAAGTACGAACAAAATGCGGCAACGGTCGTGGAAAATCCATTCCGTAAGGTAATTCGATCAGGGTCTCGGTGCCAGAACGACGCCGACTACGATGAAAAATTGCAGAACGTCGCACAGGTTCCTCATAAACTTTCAGATGTTTCTTGAGGGTTGTTGCTCCAGCAGAATCAAATACCGAAGATAGTACCATGTTGAAACCGAATATGGTACCCTCGATACCATCGTCTAAACCCTTGTCCATGTCCGTCAATTCCTGGCCAACAACTATGTCACCCCCTTCAGGAATAATGACGTCCCTTAACTATAAAAAGGATTTACATCATCAGCCTAGCGAAATGTAAAATATGCAACCAAGAAGAGCCACAATAAAAAGGGAAACTAAACTTCTTCACGGACTACCAAGGAATTGACAACCTGATACCTTCGGGGGTTATAGAAAAGAAGCTTCAGCAGGGTAATTAATGAAATGTTTTAAAACAACCACACTACTATAGGCTAAACATAAGCCTTATCAATTGTCAACCATTATATCTAAGAAGAATTGATACCACGTATTTGTAAATTAAATTTTACAAAACTTGTATTACTTCGGAAAAAGGCTCGATAAACCACAACAGTTTTGTTTTGTTTCTATTGTATTTTGTTAAAGAATGAACCTTAGAATTTTTAATTATTATTAAAAATTCATTTTTCGCTAGATTTTGATTATATGTATAAGTAATTGAAAAAGCTTCGATAAGTCTTTCTTTTTAATAATTGAATACCTCAAATTCTCCATCATTTTTATTCGTTGATATTTTCTCGAATCATTTTAACTTCAAATTGTGAAAAGAAGATTATTTGAAAATTGCCAATAAGTAGGTGCTGACTTTTGTTGATACAAAGTCTACCTTTAAAAGACTTGTGAATACCTTAGAAATAGATCTAGACTATTGATTTCTTTTCCAGTAATTTTCTCACTTATTGCCACGTTAAAAGCTCAGAGTCGAATAACTCGCGCAAACCGCCACTTTTCTAGTACCATTGGCATAAAATCCGAACTTGCATACAAATTGCTCTTTAAAGTCGTTACTTCAATAGAATAAAAGACATTTTTCCAGAAGTAGCATCCAGCAGATAGCACGAGCTTGAAAGATGAAAATTTAAATTTCCACCACGAAAGAATTTTCTGAGAAACGCCCTATGTTATAAAGCTAATTGTTACTAAATTAGTTTATTTAACTTCTTATCAACTAAATGTATTTATGCAAGAATATTAAATTTTTATTATGTTATTACCTCTTGGTTGAAGCCTACTTTTGCAATTTTACCATTCACGTAAAGTGCCCATGCTCCGTACTGGTTATCCCAACTGGTACAGAAATGGTACCATTGATCTATTTGTAGTATTAATGGGATTTTGAAGACGGGGATTTCCATAATGGCAAAATTTATATCTTCTCCTTCTGGTGTAAGCCATACTCTAATAAGTCTCGTTTTGCTGTCTTCTAAAAAAAATATTTCAAAGATACATGTTGATTTCACTAGTTTCCATTATGATATGCTTTATTAATAATAACTTAAAAATGAAAACTTTTTTAATGCAATAGATAAGTACATTCACAGTAAAATTGTTAATTAAAGAATCCTTACTTGAATACGATAATATTGGTTGGGGATAGGTAAAATTATCTACCTTCATCCATATACAAAAAGTAAACTCTTCGATGACGGGCACCTTTTTAGTGTAGCGTAAAAACTACAAACAACAAAATAATTATGTAATAAAATCTATTAGTAAAAGATTTGATTTAAAACAGGTAACATTTCCAGCAGAAGAATTAGAAACTGACAAGATAAAAATATATTAATTAAAAAATTTAAATTATGAATGAAGTAACTTTTAACTTAATTATGTAGAATACCAAATCATGGACTTGGTATTACACCACTAGTTTAATGATTTCTGATATTAATCGTTTATCATGTATAGACAGCTTTCACTAATTAATAAATCAAGTCAAAGCAAATAATTAAAAAAGTACTCGCACAATATGTAATACAGAAAAAAATTGCGCTAGAAGTAGGTTAGTACCCAGTAACTTTTGAAATATTATGAAATTTTTTAAAAAGGATTATATTTCAAACCCCCAGCAACTATGTTATTATACAATAATTTCGACAGCATTTAATGAAAGGATCTGTCACGAAAAGTAAAAGTAAATTGTAAATGTACAGGCAATAGAATTTGTATAATGCTTACCTGAATATAACCCTTTTGTGTTAAAGAAACAGTAGTTATTTTGGGAACTAAAATATCTAATAGTTTATTCGAAATTTTTTGATCATCGTCAAGCTTTGTTTCTAGAAGTCCACAAGTACATAAGTAGAAGTAATTCAAAATAACTAAACTTCCTGTTATAACATTTAAAGTCGTAATCATATCTATCTGTAAAAAAAATTGAATTACTATAATAATTTAATTTTATACGTAGAATTTAATATATTCCATTGCAGTAAATACAAGAAAATCAATTTTAGATTAGTACAATAGTTTAATGAAGATTCATTTGTCCATAACACAATACGTAACATTCGCAATTTAACCCAAACAGGTTTAATTCCATTAAAATGAGAACAAGCAATATATAAACCAGGGTATAACATAACTTTAACTATTTGTTTGTTTACGTTTCCTCAACTACCAAGTTTTATGTTCATTCTATTTCCGACGTAAGTTAAAGTAATAAGGAAGCTCTGATCTCACAATTTACACACCTCTAGTGGACAAAAAGGGAATTTGGCACATGTTTTTTTTATATATGATAACGGTAATGAGTTTATGTAATAGAAATAAAACCATTTAAGAATTTAACAGTCGGTACACTTTATATCAACAAGCTTGTTAAAGAGATCCAACATTTTTCTATTTGATTACACCTAACTCTAACTCTGGTGTTTGTCAATTCTTATTTTTTCAATAAATTGAGCCTTGCTACGCATGTTTAAAACTGAACTCAAAACATCCCTGTAGACTGAATGAACATTTTCGACGATCCTATGTTTTCTCCATATATATCATTCATTTGATAACACTTAACATGTACATTATTCTAATTATGCCTTCTAAAATCATCCTAAATTGTTTAAAAATGTATAGTATATGAAAATTTTCAATTTTTTGAAGAGTGCGATAATAAACTAAGTATAAAAAACGTTTCATTAAAATGCCATCTTAAATTTTCAAAATTGTTTTTAGTTAATAAGGATCATCAGTTATTAAATGTTTATCACCTTTAAAATTGATAATTTAGCGGTAAAGACGTATCACATTAGCATATGAATGACTGTTTTTCATATTTTTTTCTTTATTTATGTGACTCTCCAATCTGAAACTGTTTATTTTTCATCCACTAAAGAATGAAAATATGCAAATATAAAAATAATAAAAGTGAAACTTATTTATTACGTAAATACTACTGCAGGTACGTTTTCCATAAAATTTGCATATTATGAATTCGTCTATTACGAAATTGTTCTCCAAGCATCTGATGAATGACCGGCTGCTTTCCTTTCTCGTGTAGTAAAAAAACGTGTAGTAAGTAGTTTGCGATATTGTTACTATACAGATATATCCAAACATTTATTACAGTTATTGTAACCACTTATATGCAGCACATGGCCTGCTCTTCATTAGAAGAATCCTTTTATAAATTTTATTTGAACGCTTCATTTGCATTTTACTTCCATTTGGAACGTAAATAAATGCGTGGACAATCTCAAGATTAATTAATTTACTTACTGTTATCTGTCAAGACAATATTTAAAAAAGCAATTTAGAAAACTGGTTAACGAAGAAACAATAATAATAAACCTTTAAATATTCGAGAATAACGGGTTGTTTTTACCACTTCTAATACAGTGATTTGTTATAGAGATTTAATGTAGGTATTGAAATGTATTTTCTCTTCCTTTACGTATAATTTTAGTAGCAGCGTCAAAGTAATGGACAAAAATTAGGTACAGTTTTTATCCATTATTTTTAAATAATAAAACAATTTAATTTTAAACTAATATTGATATTTTTTCATTGAGTTGTATCTCATAATCATATTCCTCATTTACGTTGATGTGTAACTGAACTTTTTTCAGCGGAGGGCGTGATTATGGTCTTTCACAAAAGTGCTTTCTCCCAACACCGTAAAATAAATTCAACAGGGGCAACACCAACTGCAACAAGTGCGCAATGGTAGATTTATTGCCTACGATAAGACCATATGATTACGCCACATAGGAACCATTAATTTTTTGGGCGTACGAAACGTCCTAGTTCTTATTAGTAAATTTCACTGACTGTTACTTTTCTTTACCTACATTTACAGATCTGAAAGCTCCTTATTTTTCTGTTAGATACTACTCGTGAAGCAATCAAAAACAGATCGCGATAAAACGGGATCAGTTGGTTCCGTACTGTGGTTAGATACATTTATCCTTATTTATCAGCCTGTCTATTTAATGATGCAATGATTCCGTTACGTATAATTCGCTTGGCTGATTTATAAAATTTAGAGTTGACTGAAGACGACGTTTCTTATAGAAAGACATTGTTAATAAATAAAGCAAGAACATTTCCCTTGCTTTAAATTAATATTCTTTTGTGTGTCTGTTTTATCTTGATGAAAATGAATAATTTATTTTCAATTTTTTCGTACGGGATAAAAAGTTATACTATTAATTTCAATTTCTTACCATTACTGTATTGTACGCACAATCTCAAAGACAATATGGGGCAAAAACGAGTCTTTCTATCTACTTCCTGAACAGCATCAACACATTTTGTCTTTGATATAAAACCTTTATCAAAGAAGGTGTCTGACTCGATAATTCGTTTTTCTCAGATAATATTTTTTAACATATTTTTCTCATTAGGATGGTAAAACAGTTTAGGAATCTTTACAAAGTTTTGCACAAACGAATACATAAATTTTTATTTACGTCCTGCTACTGTAGCAATTTGTGTAAATTTTATTATCTCAGAATTTATTTTTAATCAATAAGACGTAAAAGACTTGATAATTTTAATTCAAGAACTCTTATCTACGAAAAGATAATCGTAATAATAAAACCTTTACTGATTAATATGAAATATTAATGTGAAAATACATTTTCAATTTTTCATCTAGTACAAACTACCTCAGCTTAACAGGATGTGACTACAGCATAGTACAAACTACCTCAGCTTAACAGGATGTGACTACAGCAACAAAAATTTTCCCTCATTAACCTGAGGTAGTTTGTAGTGGATGGAAAACTGAAAATAAATTTTCACATGAATATTTTCTAAAATCTTTAATGTATTAAGGGTTTTTAAGTGTCTGTTTCGTTTCTGTAAATAGCATTAAAAGAAAATAGTATTTTTTCAATTAAAGTATGATTTTACACTTTATATCAACTGTAAAAATATGAGTAATTGTGAAGTAAAAACTAAAAATTTTAAAATGTAGTCCACAATAACCAACTTTGTAGCAATTATTATACAAACTTTACCGATATAACTTTTTGTTCGTGATGTGAAATCACTTACTGAATATTATTTTCACCCCTAATAATAAACAATACTTTCAATCAAAAACAAGCAAACCCTTATTGATGTTACTTACTTTTATAGAAGATTAATTTTATGTCATTTTAAATTTCACTCTTCACTTATTCATGAGCAGTAGCCCGCGGCAAAAATTAAAAAAAAAAAAAACTATTGTGCCACCTTCATGGGGATTCCTCGCGAACCGTACACTCTCGCTTACGCGACTGTTTATCAAACAACATGTGATTCGCGTATTAATAACGTCTCGTTCTGTTGGCTGGTAAAACACGCACATAAATGAAGAAACTTCAGAGTCCTGATGGCACTTTCTACTTATAATAGTATCGCTATTGCTAGGAGGTATCAGCTAAGAGCCTGCACAGAATAATTCCTTCCAACTTGGAACTTGCTTAATTTATTGGTCAAAGTTACTAAAAGCTTGCAGCTAACATGTTTAAGTGTTTATTTACAAGTGTTTTATTATATTCGTCAATAATTATACATTTCTAGGTGTGGATACCTATTGAAATACACAAATGACAGGAAATGCAATTATTTCACACTTCAATATTTTAGAACATACTTTCCAATTTATTCATTTTATTGTCGTAAGGAGGACCTTTTGCACAATGCCTAGGAGCAATCCTAGAATCCTTTACATATTTTTCTTTCTCCAGCACTACCCCTGAGGGCCTAAATGTGTGTTTAAAATGCTAAACTGTAATTCATACAAATTTTACACTACTAACACGTTAATAAATAAATGGAAACAGAAATATGTTTAAATTTGTTTATAATTAAATAAAAATGCTCGTATGCTAAAATTGCATGTACAGAATAAATTTTCTATAGGTTTCTGATAAGCCAAGCATTTTCTAATGTTAAACCCAAAATAACTCTTGGCTATCCATACTATATTGCACTCAATGCAGTTTTTCACCTACACTCAATTTTTCTTTCAATAATATTATGGCGTATTCATTATTAACGAGACGAAACAACAAAACTCAAGTAGTGTCTCTGTTAAAGAAAGGTTTCCGTTATAAAGAGATTCGTTATAGCGAGTTGATGCTGTGTACACCTATTATAGTAGACTTGATAACGTAGAATTATTCCAGCTGTATTTAATCTGAAAGTGGAACAAATCATTCCTCATGAAATGGCAAATAATTTAATTATAGATCTAGATAAGCTACGACTCGTCCATTTTGCAAATGCACCTACTACCCCACTAATCACAAACAGGTTAACAGCTATTTTCCACTCTCTGCAATTATGATATGTGGTTTAAAGATAACATGCCGATGATAATATAGAAGTAACTCTGTAAATGGTTTTTGAATATTGAGCGCAACTAGTGTTGCCCAAACGCAAGAACAAGACGAGACTTAGCCAGTCTTGGTCTTGGTCTTGCGCCAATACACCTGGTCTTGGTCTTGGTCTTGGTCTTGCGCTCCCAGTCTTGGTCTTGGTCTTGGTCTTGCAGCAAGAGTCTTGCAAGTCTTGCAATTACCTATTAGTCTATTACTATTTATTAAAGTTTACTTTAAATCCTAGAAAAACGTATTAGAATTGGAACATTGTGAGCTTGAATGAATATAGCCATAGTAAAGATCAAGCAGATTAATAAATAACTGAAGATTTGATAAGAAATTCGAAAAATCAACTGACCTATATGTCGTTTTCCATGGAAGTAACTGTTTCTTAATAAACATTTATGATCCTTGCTTTCTACCGCGCCGCCTCGCCACGTGCCGGCTCTATGATAAGGATGCCGCCGCAAATCAAACAATAATATAAAGCCTGTAAAAAAATTCGAAATTATTTTGCATGAGTATACCTACACCCTATGGCGGCAATCAAATAGTGTCAAATGTTATGATTTCGGCGTGGCGGCAACGATTGTTTTAGATTTCAAAAGAAGCCGCCGGCGCGTGTATCATAACCATGTACTTCCGAAAAGCGGCAAATTTCTTTGAGAAGTAAGTACAAAACCTTTGATGCCGCATTATCAAAGTGCCGATGGTTAAAACATAACTATGCATGCACTCAGTTTGATTTTAATAATTTTTTTATTCGCTATGTTTATGGTATTAGTCGTAATGCGCATAGGTCCAGTTTTTCATATTCTTTGATACAGTTTTTTGCGTCTCATAGAATTCCTAAGCGTACCTACCTATACACCGAACTGAGACGCAAGAGTCTTGCAGGCTATGTCTTGTTCTTGCTCAAGTCTTGCACGGTCAGTCTTGGTCTTGGTCTTGCTAAAAATACGCGGTCTTGTTCTTGGTCTTGGTCTTGCAAAAACGCAAGAACAAGACCAAGACTGCAAGACCAAGACTGAATTTGGGCAACACTAAGCGCAACAGATTGTAAACTCGTCGATTTGTTGCTTTCATTGTCAAAAAATGGTATACAAATTTTTAAAATCAATTTACACATTTTTATTTGAACTTTGAAAAAGGTTTCACATATTATATATCACATTAAAAAGAAAAAATGTATTGAGCAAATGATGATTTACAATTTCATGGACAGAGTCGCGAAAACTCCACGCTCTAAGCAATAGTTCAATAACAAAGTGGCGAATAAAAGAAATAGACTTTTTACTGACAAAATTATGAAACATTTTCAAAGTTTAATGGATGGAACACCACATCGTTCTTATTTTAATTTATACGTCTGTTGTGACAGTTTATTTTATTGTTCATCATTTACAGCTTTTGTCGATAATGTTTCGATTATTTAATAATTTCTTCTAATAAAACCTTAGATTTGTTATTGGTTTACCTATCCATTTCCTAGCCGAAGTGAGAGATAGAATCGTTTTTATTCTATAGAAATAACTACAATAAACAATATCTAAAAAGTTGGGATAAATGAATAGTGTCATTTGATACAGTTACTGTTTGCGGAAAACTATTTAGTTTGTTTTTGCAAATCGACAAATATAAAAAAGAAAAGACACAATCATGCAAATCAGAATCGTCCCTAGCTGTTAATCGGCTGGCTAGCCCTCACGTAATTCTGTAAATCATTGTCGGTTTTGCTGTAAGAAAGCGTATAAATGGGAGACAAAGTCCGTCGTTCAGAAAATAATAATTGTGCTTAGGTACATTGCAAAAAGTGATTACCTACTAAAAACGTTTATATTTCTTGTAACTCCATGTCAAAGTTCGTAAGCACAGGCTTTTGGTTACTACAATACGTAATTATTTCACCACACTGTGGCTTCTTTAAATGGAAGAACTTTTACAAACTAATTATATGTATCTACAAATTAATTAAGTGCAATTGTTTAAATACTGGCTTACCTAAAGAAAAGTGATGGAAAAATACAATTATTTTGTACTAATTATATGTTTAGTAATGATGAATTAAATGCATACATCAATTTGATTTCAATTCCTACATTCTGTTTGATGTTAATTCATGTTCAGATAAAGAGATTTATTTATGCAATTTATGCTAGTCTGAAGTCTAACAGAACCCAGTAAAATGAACTAAATTATGCTCTAGATAGTATATTCCTGATGCCAACCATCAAAATTCATTTTAGAATTCATGTTCAGATAAAGAGATTTATTTATGCAATTTATGCTAGTCTGAAGTCTAACAGAACCCAGTAAAATGAACTAAATTATGCTCTAGATAGTATATTCCTGATGCCAACCATCAAAATTCATTTTAATGCCTTTTTCATTCATATTTAAGCATTTTAGTTCGGAGACTTCAATAGTCGATCAAGCGAGAAACCTTTTAGTAACAATAATAATAACAGATTAGAAATTATTCTTATTATTTGATGGCTTACTTACGTCAAGTCTATTATATATATGCAATAATAAATGTGGCAAAGACTGATTAATATTTAATGTTTACATCGGTAAATCACTGTATATACTAGAGCTTGTCTTGGCTGACTAACTGACTGACCAACGCAAAGCCGAAACTATTGGGTCGATTTAAATAAAATTTTGACAACACGTTCTAACTATTACATAGGGGCAAATCAAGAACGGATTTTACGAAAATCGCAAGGGTTGAAAAAAAATGTTGAGTAAGGGATCTTTCTAAGGATATCAAAATTCTCAGAATGACGTGTTCTTCAGAGAGTTATTAGTTACTATTTATCGAGCAACTGTTTATATACATTTTGAACTAATTAATGTTCACTTTTAAAAAAATTATCGAAAACGTCATTACTTTAAATAAGAACAACCTATTAAACGTTTATTGAAAGTCTAAGACAATTTGTAGATGTCATTCGGTCTTTTTCTATTACTTGTTGCAGTAACTGGATTATGAATAAGTAATTTTGTAACAAATTGTCTATTTTTCCTATTTAAATTATACAATGCTATTTTACTTACTTTGTACAATGAATGAGTTTTTAAAATTGAATTGTGAGAAATGTGTCGTGCGAGTTTTTCTTATCAAGTCAATTATCAAAACCATTTTTGGTAATAAACGACTACAACAACCCACTTAATTTATTTGAGTATGCGATTTCTCAAGCAGAACATTTACAACATTTGTATAATAATAACACATCCAGTTTAAAGGAATTTAAATGTTTCTTAAAAAAAAAAACGTGATACCCATTTAAAAATTGAATTAAGAATATTGATAATTATATTTTAAACTAAATATTAGTAATAACCTATATTTAAAATGTATAAAACAATGGAATATATTTTGAAAAATGACGAAATAAAAATACCCTATGGTGAGATAAACGAATTGTAAGGTAAGGGAATAACTACTACAAGGAATTTAACCCAGACTTGAATTTTTCACATCTGTTCCCAAATATTCTTTGGGTAAGCATTTACGTAGTAAGTTCATCTGCGAACAGATAGTTTAATGATAAACTTAATCCAGACCTCAGAAAATATACACTATGTCCGATCAGTATTGAAAGGTAACATCTGTAGTCACTCATAATAGCGTAACAACATAGAGCCGGTACTGATCGCCCTTTGTTATTTCAAGCGTGAAGTTTTGAAATACACGTACCTACTCGTGACCTTCGGAGCTGCTGGCACGCGTAAAGAGCAATTGCACCTGGTTGTATAATCAGCACTCCGTAGGTACCGTTCCTCTTGCAAAGTTACTGCTATTACCGCAAAGTACAAACATAATTTTATTTTGATTAATTCATTAGATCAATATTTTTCCTTAGGGAAGTGCAGGAAAAGCAGCTCCTTATTATATGGGGTCGACAACAAGTTTACCTCGTGGTGGTCCTCTCCTAAGGCCCTATTCACCCGCAGTAGGAGCCCTTCCACCGAAATCGTTAGCAGCAGGTAATTTTTTTAATTATTTTTGTTCACAGTAACTTTCCCTGCTAGTTAACAAAATAACATAAATCTTATAAATAATGTGCAACTATGTACCTATTCTAAGTGAATTGTGGTAGTTGTCTAATAAATGTGGTCCATGTGGCATTAGATTTATTCATTCTAATGTGTTCTGCATGACTTTATGTTTAATGGTGTTTTTGGTCCACTTCCCAGATTTAACCTTTAGCTAAATTTATTTCAATTAAAACGGAAAAACTTAAACCATTCTGATCATTGTATGAACTTAAATTATTTTAATAATTTGAGTATTCAATTTGAATTTAGTACTCGAGCTTTTTAGAGGATTATATCCATAAAATAGAAATAAATTCATTTATTAAATTTTAGGAGCTATTTGTCAATTTTGAAAAAATTGAACTCAATCAGAACAGATTTTTATTAACGGTATTCTGTAGCATTTTTTAGAAACTTAAATTGACTTGTAATAAATAATAAGTTATTATTTAATTACTATCAATAAACACATTTTCTAGTTCAATATGTAGTAAAATATTGCTTGGGTAACCCTTAAGTATTGTTTTAAAAACAGAGGGGGTTAATAAATATTAAGTATGTAAAGCAACAATAACATTAATAATTAACAGTAGTTATTGTAAAACTTAACTGACAGTAAAAATTATTTTAACACTTGCTATATCCTGCATTAAAGATCAAGGGTGTCTCCAAAGGGTTTGACGTAAGAGCAGCTAAAGACACATTCTTGACACTAAAGATCCATTCACCTATACCTTTACATGTCAAAAATATCAATAAAAACCCCACAACTCATATTCATTGTCTATCATCTTGTCTCTCCTCCCTTGGTAAGCCCTTCTAAGAATAATATTTGTTCATGAACAACTGTTTTGAGTTTAACTAATTACATTAATGTTGTCCTCAATCCGTACAAATTAATTGCAAATGCATTTTTATTATTTATACAGAGATGTAGAGTAATTTTAAATGCAAGCGTGACATTCAGATTACCTGATAAATAATTTATTGGCAAGGAAAAGTGCAGAACGGAGTATCTGTAAATAGACAAGTATGCACATCTGATAAAATTGCATGCACATTCCTTTATGAATCGCAACCAAGAACGTAATTTATTCAACGTATTCCATTACCCTGATTTTCCATTCGATGTACATCCAATGGATTTGAAAATTGTACCGCTTGAAATGTGACGAATGAGAAGAACTCCAATAGCAAAACAAACGAATACATTTCCCTTTATTATCCTTTTGTTTCTTTGTAATTTCTTCACATATGATAAATGATGTTAACGTAAAGGTTGTGGAATGGTTTAGTCTAATAGTATCATTTACAGCAAATGGCAAAAAAGACCAGATCTACTTGAGAAACACAAAACTGTTCATGCAAGTTGTAGCAGGATAGAATTTTAACAGTATTGAATTGAGAAATTTTACTGTCAGAAACTTATTACAGATATATATGTCCTCATTTCCTATCAATTCAATAAATCATAATGGAGAGTATTGTAAATAAAGAAACGAAAAAAGGCTAATCCTTAATTATGGAGAAACGAATACGTTTCGTCCACTTTATATATAAATTGTATGAATCAAATTAGACCATTAAATATTCNTACTGGCTTACCTAAAGAAAAGTGATGGAAAAATACAATTATTTTGTACTAATTATATGTTTAGTAATGATGAATTAAATGCATCAATTTGATTTCAATTCCTACATTCCGTTTGATGTTAATTCATGTTCAGATAAGTGCAATTGTTTAAATACGGCTTACCTAAAGAAAAGTGATGGAAAAATACAATTATTTTGTACTAATTATATGTTTAGTAATGATGAATTAAATGCATACATCAATTTGATTTCAATTCCTACATTCTGTTTGATTGTTAATTCATGTTCAGATAAAGAGATTTATTTATGCAATTTATGCTAGTCTGAAGTCTAACAGAACCCAGTAAAATGAACTAAATTATGCTCTAGATAGTATATTCCTGATGCCAACCATCAAAATTCATTTTAATGCCTTTTTCATTCATATTTAAGCATTTTAGTTCGGAGACTTCAATAGTCGATCAAGCGAGAAACCTTTTAGTAACGCTAATAATAACGGATTAAAAATGATTTGTTTTATTTGATAGCATACTTACGTCATGTCTATTACATATATGTATAAATGCATATACATATAGGTGATAAAGACCGATTAATACTTAATGTTAGCATTGTTAAATCTCTATATATAAAAGATCTTTTCTTGAAGCACATCCAAAACTATTGAGTCGATTTGAATAAAATTTTGACAGCATATTCTGGCTATCACATAGGAGCCCATTAAGAACCGATTTTGTGAATATTATTTTTAAAAAGAAATACAAAAATTTAATTTCAAATATTGTTGATTTGATTTAATGTATCTTTCAAAAAAAATTTGTGAAGTTAACCATGGTTGGTTTATAGAAAATGAAACAAAAATGGTTATATCATATATTGTTTTTCTCTTGGCCCCTATTTTGTTAACGTTTCCTACTTTTTTTTGCTTAATTTTAATTAGGAGGTCAAAGTTATTCCATCCTGGAATAAAGAAATATTTTTTGAACGACACTATTTTGATTAGTTGTATGTCGTTTTGTAAACAATTGAATATCCAATGGACAGACAGGAATTTGCATAATCTATTTCCAAAAAATTGCCTATTCCAATTGCGATTGCACAACATAGGTATCATCCCAATAATTATTTAATTTATTACAAATAAACAAGTAGTCATTATGTTTACATGTAATAATGTAATTTTGCAAAAAGGTGCACCCCCGAAGCCACAGAGGGCATACTCCAGCGGGGTTCCCCGCGCTAGCGAAGATTCATCACGCACTTCAGACAGATTCGCCCCCTTTCAAAGGCCTGTTAACCCCCTCTTTAATTTACCAGGTGGGTTCACGTCCACCTCAACACCAATTTTATCGCTTGGACTTATATTTACAGGGGGTGATACATTAAATATATGGACGATTTCAAAGTCAAGTACATTGAGACAGCAACGTTCAAAAATCAGTATTAACCTCGTGACCCGATCTTCCAAATAGCAGTCTGTGTAGATGTCAATTGCTGAATTTTTGGCTTGGTTGTTTTCTTTGTTAAATGTTTTGTTGATGATGGCTTGTATTAGTTGGCTGCTTGACTTTGGCTTGTTGATGGTCATAAATCATTGCGTCGATAGATTACTTCCAAATCATTGGGAGATCGCGTAAGTGAATTGACTTCAGTCTTCAATCTTCGTATATGTCCCATTACTTATATTCAATGAATTGTCGGTTACCCACCAAAGTGAAAATCGTTTTTGGTCTATTTGATAGGAGACACGTTCAGAAACTGATGAGTTTGAAATCGTCCATTTCTCTATCACTCTCTGTCACTCTTAACACTCATAGAGCTGTTTTTGTTGGTATACTTATCGTAAATACTCTTTTGAGAAGACCTATTATTTATCAGTGCACGCTTTCTATGTACTTCACTTAAATATTTACACATAAATTGAAGTTTAAATTATCTTTAACGTTCTAGGTTTCTGTTTTCTATAAACTCCGTAGCTTCTGTGACTGTGCACTTATCTTATGAATGTCGATTTATGGACTAATCCTACATTGTTAAGCAAAATCTATTGTTGCATTGCTCTTTCATGTTTAACTTAAACAAAAAGATAAAATTAATTTTCTTAGTTAATTTCTCTTTTATTTTTGACGTTTTCTATTCTAATAGATGGTTACATGTCTTCTCCAGAACGAGGATCTCGTGGGTATGAAGATCCATACTACAGTCAATATTCCGCAAGGTCTGGTTCTATAACACCCGTTATAGACGAAGAAGTAAGGTAATCGTATTGCAATGATCAATACATTCCATTCTTTTATTTAATCCAATTTGCATAATACCATACATTTTGCTTCACAGTGTGTTTTGCTTTTGTCCACATTCTTTATAATCATCTCATTCATATCTTTAGGTCAAAGAAATATACGTGATCAATCACAAAAACAAAGTGGTCCATTTTAAACTACTCACCAGAATATCTTGACAGGGGAAATACCAATCAAAAAATAACTTGTATAAAAATAATTGAGTTCAGATAGTAACCAAACATTTGAGCATGAATTTCAAAGACAATTGAAGGTCAAATCGAATTAAGAAAACTCAGTAATATATGTAGAGGTTATTTTTTGATTGGTGGCCACCCTGACGAAATATTCAGATGGGTAATTTAAAATGGGACAGCCGATAACTGAAATAATATTTAGTGTTTTGCACAAAATCTTAATACCAAATATTAGCATATGATATCAAAGGATTTTATGAATCAGATTTCGTTTTGATTTCTGGAGAAATAAAATGAAAAAAAATTCATTTTAATCATCAATACGAAAAAAGTTAATGAACAGGTAAAGTTATTTCGAACGTGAATTCAAATGGAATTGTGCAACAAATAATTCACTCATATTCACATTACTTATAGAAGGTTTTGCTTTAATGTAATGTTTACTTTTTTGTAGTGTTTTCAAACTACCTACACTTTTATGTCACCTCTTAAAAAGAACTGTTTATCACTTTTTCCTAGAAGTTTCACCATAACAACGTCACCGTATCGCACCGTAAAATGCAACATCTTTTACTAAGTATCACATTTACATTTTAGCGACACTGAGCTAATGGACGAACAGTATTCATTATACGGGGTTAAAATGCCGCCAGGGGGTGGGCGTCCTGCCCCTAGGGCCCAGTTTCCCGGACCCGCTGCACCACCCTATGACTCTACAAGGTATATAATTACCAGACAAAAATACATACGTATAGAAATAGTTTACCACCGTTATGAATTTTTAAATGTGCTGTACATGTTTGCCAAAATTCGTTATCAGTATACCCTTACTTGCTCAACCATGTGGCGCATACGTAATTACATAAAAATGATAAAATAACATTACACTCTTTAAAACATGTTCCGAAAAATTACACAATTTAATATATAATATCCTAATGNNCTAAAGTTCCCTTTACGTTTTAAATTTCATACAAAAATTTATTTGTACAGGTATAATTAGCGTTTATATGTATAAATTTATCATAATTAGTTGATAAAAAATAAACCCGCGTCATTTTTGTTGAGATTCGACATTTAAACACTTCAAGCTTCATTGACCACGAGTGAAATTCATAAACGCCTTAGAAATCGCATCAGGAAATATAAAAATCTTCACCCAATTTAAGTTCGCTCCATTAACTCCACATTGCTTCTTTGTGTGGGTGTGTTTGTGTTTAAATACATACTGTTGTAGAATTGTTTCATTTTGCATTTTCGTACTGCTTATAAAAATTAGTTTAACTGTCGTTGTCGCTTGTTTTTAAGTGTTTTTACAATTATTATAACGAAAGAGAATCAAATTATTGTACAGCCAGAACACGTAAATTCGTAAATTCAAATAAATAGGTAGCACTGAACAAATAAGGACTTTTGTTTTGTATTATCATTTTTACGAGATACGTCTTCTACACGTGAAATTTTCATTTGAAAAAGTATTTTGAGTTGTGTTTTAAATGTGCTTTGTTTTATTTCTGGTTAAGTTTATATACAGAGTAGGCTAACACATGGGTCAGAACTCTTAATGCATGAGCATGGATCATCCAGGGATCTAGGATCTATATCTCTGTCATGATAATAAACTATTTCATCTTCTAGTTTGTGTATAATGTTTGAATTACTTTGCGGCAACCCCCTAGAGGTAGATACATACATGCTACTGGTTTTCAAAGAATCGACAACAAATTCAAGTGTTCTTCTTGCTTATGTTTACAGAATAAGGGTGGAACATATGGAAAGGCAGTTGGCAAATCTAACCGGATTAGTTCAAAAAGCGCTAACACAAACTCCGACCCCGAGAGATTTCCTTACGGTGCCGGGCAACAGAGAAAACTACCGCACAGGTAAGACGGTTCATGCATGCCTGAAAGCTTTTCGTTCTTGGCTGTGAAGTTTATGTTAATGTACATGTACGTTTGCTCTGGTCGACGAAAAGTGCACAGAAGTTCATTTACTATGCATATGTCTACATACTTGTACGTAATATCAGCATAAATGAAGACAGCCAGAATGGAAACCGGGTAAATACGCCGATAGGGATTGTAATGTTGTAATTTATAAAGATTTCGGCAGCCAAACTTCAATATTTGAAATGAAATACAATTGGAACAAAACATAGGTATATACTAACAAAGACTTCGGTGCATTTTCTGACTTATGCTATAGTATCATAAAGAAAAACTAGAAATTTTCTGAGCGGTATTCAGCTTTGTCTTATGAGTTATAATTTAAAACCCAAAGTTACTACACGTAATAAATTGCTTATTTTAGATTATTCTTTTCTACATTATTTTTCTAGGGGGTCAATAATTCAATGGGACATAATTAGGAAAAATGAAAGCAGATTTTCAGAAATTTTATTTCTGCCTAATATGTTTCGCCAAACATAAGCATTCATAAATATGACTACATTCTGTTACTACTAGTAATAGTCTGAAGAAGTCAATTAACATTGGCCTTTTGTCGGAACACGTTACGTGTTAAATAAAATTCGTGAAAATCTACTTTCTATGTTTTTCTTGATTATGAATTTTTATCAAGCAGTGATCCAAACAATTCAAATTTAGAAATACATTTTTTTGTTTAGGTCCTTCGAAATTCAGTTAAACGTTGTTTTAATTTCTTCTCATGATAATTGGGATGGGGTGGAGGGCGGTAGAGTTAGAAGTTGGCACACGTGTTACTAATATGCAGTGTAATTTATATACACTTTTAATGAGCTTTGTAGTGTTGTTGCTAACGTCCACGTTTATGCCGTAGGAGATGAGTTCGATAAGAACTCCAGCTCAAGTTCAGCATCACTACCAGGTTTGTATTTTCTTTTTTATGTAGTAAAGTAACGTTTGAAACCAACTAATCACTACTTTCGTTCATTACATTAGCACTAAATACATCTACACATTCCTGTAATATACTTCGATTCATATTTAATTGAAGTATTAGTTTCCTTCTACTTCTTCTTTTTCTTTTTCAAAGAAAAACATAATATTAACTTGCTTCATATCTATGTTTTTAATGTAATACAAAAAAGCTTCACGGATTTACTTGCACAAAGTTACTTAAAGATTTTTTATTCGTCCTTATTTCAGGAATTTTTTATTAGCTCAATAATTTAATCATTAAATGTCATTATTAGTTAAATTATTAAGCAAATTAAAATAAATAAAAGTAAAACAAGGGAAGAAAAAGTAAGTAAAAAGATCATATCTAAAGATACGAGATGGAAAATTAGAAGATGTGCCTGATTTTTGGTGTCTAGGAAGTCAGATAACTCAGGAAGGTAGGAGCTGTACAGATATAAAACAGAGGATAGCGCAGGGTCGACTCACCTTCAACATAAAGAAGTTACTTCTGTGCTCGCGGACGGTTAATTTAGAAATTCGGAAAAGATTTTTAATGGTATGGTATGTTTCGAGTGCGGTGCTGTACGGGTGCGAAATATAGACAATGGGGGCGGCGGAAAAGAGTAGCTAAGACGTGTCCGAAGTATGAGAAGGTTAGAAGTGAAGAGGTATTAGAAAGAATAGGAGAACAGAGGACTCTATGGAAGTCAATAAGAAATAGGCGAGATAGATTGGTAGAACACCTTCTCAGGCATGAAGGGCTAGTCAAGGGCAGAATTAGAAACGGAAATTAAGAGGAGTAGAGGTAGACCTGGATTAGATTACTGTTCACAAATAGTTAAAGATGTGGGATGTTCCAGTTTTAGGAAAATGCGAAGATTAAGTGAAGATAGGAAAGAGTAGAGGTGCGTATTCAACCAGTCTTAGAACTGACGACCTTATGATAATGATGATATGAGTACTTAAAAAAGTCCCTAAATATGGATGAAACATTTACAAAAATAAATGGAAAATAATAAAGTAATAACTCAGGAATTTAGTCCAAGAATATCTGTGAAGCTTTCTTTTACCATATGAAAATATAATATTAGTTGTAAACTTCTTACCAAACCGTTCTACTTTGGTTCAAGGCCTTCGTCTAAACATTTCGGTCTTTCTTGCTGATTGCATCATCAGTGATGATTTGCCTGGGACCAATGTAATTGTGACTGATCGTCACCACCAGCAAAGTCACCACTAATGATTTCGTCAGCGAAGAACGTTAAATGTTTGAAAAAGAATGTTTCTTTAGTTCATTATAAAATAGTATGAGAAGAAACTAAAGTCTGCAAACCACATTAAGCGAATCATAATTAATAACTGTTATATTTACGTTGAACTTTCCCTTACTTATAACGGTTAGGTCATGTTCGCTAATTAATTTTGAATTTGATAATTAGATTTTTATTATTAAAATAAGTATACCATTTTTCATTTTTACTTCTTATTAGGATTAGAAATTCGAAACCAAAATTACTGTATTATTTCTCACACCAAATGGATTATTATTATTACACAAAAATGCCTTTTGTTATTGGTATTAAAATTACAAAAAGATTCGTTTAGAACAATGAGGTAATGTTGGGCGAACATAATTTATCTTAAGATTTTGCAATTTTTTTTGTTGATTAACAATAAATAAATTGAATGAGTTTGTATTTATTTGACAGACGACTCATATCTGCGCACTGACAACAAAACGCCCAAACTGGGCAAAAGCGGTTGTCGTAAGTAAACCACTTTTTGTCAATATTGTTTGCACGACATCTTTCTCGTATCACTGCTCTGCATTTTCTAACTACAATGTTTATGATGCACGCTAGAATTTCAAACAGGTGAGCTCAAACGGTGTTGCGTATCTGTCATAGACTCTCCATGCATTAGTCCCATTCAGTGGTTCTACGCAAAAACGTCCTTGTACTTTCAGTCATGTGGACAGAGCTGCATTGAACTTTTTGATGTTTTTGAGCTTTTTGACTATATATATATACCAAGTTATCGGCGCAATATTTTCCCGAAGATACATTCATCCTTAAGGAGGATCTTATTTGACATGGAAAATATTTCCATGAATATTTTTAAAGCAGTTGCGAGGGATGATAAAGAAGGATTACTAGAGTACATCCCGTCGGGATTAGTTGACGGTCAGTCGTGGAGACGAAGGGGATGAAATTGAAAATTCGATATGGTAATTATGTAAGGGGGAAATAGTGTTGGTAGAGATGATTTAGTGTAACAATAAGAAAGAACTAAGGAAGAGTGGCGCAGTGGCTGGAAGTGAAAACTCAAAAATTTGAATAAGGAACACAACTTAACTCCCACATTCACCCCCACGATACCTCCTACTAATCCAAGAATGTCGTTCCTTCTAGTATTTATTTCTGAAGCTAGAAATCGGTATCATAAAGAGAACAGCATTTACAAAAGTATCACTACATTTTGAAGTGAAACTTCTATATAGGTGACGGGGTATTACGATTTTTTCTGTCACGAAAAAGCGTTACAGCTGCATGGAGGGTGTGGACGGTATGTCGGGTAGTGAGAGACGGCAATGGCGGAGGGAGAGCAAAGTTAGCGGCGACGGAAAGAGGGCAACAGCTGCATTAGATGGATATAATGCGCAGCCGCGCGGAGAGTCCCTACGGCATGTGCTGTGCCCAGCTGTTGTTGTCTTACCTCTGCTCTCCACGTGGCTGGGACAAGTGGGAAAACGAATGGCAACGGACAAGTAGAAAAACGAATGGCAACGGACAAGTGGAAAAACGAATCGCAACAAAGTTTTTACTTGAAGTTTTACGGCAGGTATATTAACAATCTACACGTAAAACTTGAAGTAAAATTTTGTTGCGATTTATTTATCCGCTTGACCGTTGCCATTCGTTTTTCCACTTGTCCGTTGAAATTTCACTTGTACTATGTGTCCCAGCATACATTTCGTTTTATAGGAGAACAAACTTAATTTAACTCTTGCGATTATTGCTATGTAGAAAACGAACACAACTCATATTCACATGGACATTTCGGCACGACGTTGAAAGTTACTGTGGCAGTTTTATACTTCGTATTATTCAAATTGATATTATTTTAAACAAAAACGAATTATTAAGAGTATTCTAAATATCTAGAATATGTAGTTCATTAGTCATTACAACGCTGGATTGAAATTAAAAATTTGTGAACGGATGGACACCTTTTAGTTGATACAGACGGAAAATTGAGCATGTTCAATGTTTATGAACAGATTATCCGTAACTCTAGCGAGCATTGTCCCTTAATCAGTGAGTGACACTGTTTAAACAACGAAAATGTTTGTGCGAGTATTTCAGAAACTGTAACGAAAAGGGTTGGTGACAAAATGTACGTTTTAACCTGACAGGGTCGCGAAGGCTTTTATCAGATGTAATTAATGAAGTCTTGACGCGATGCTTTGGCTTCTCAAGCCCTTATTTCGCTTAATTATTTCCGGGATTTCCCCATAAAATTAATTATTTACGCCATGTACAGCGGACTTGCTGTGAAGACAAAGGGCAACCTGTTTACATCTGAATCATTACAAATGTCGCCTCTTCAAAATTTCACACTAATATTAAATCATATTCGCACAAATAAAATAATTCGAAGTGGGCTGTATTTTGTCGAAACTGCCAGACGCGGATCTCGATTTCGATCTTTTTGGATCTCATCAGCGCGTCGCAGGCAGCTCCGACAGAACACAGTTTACCTGCTGTCTTAACAGCGCGTTTTAGAAAATACTACAAATGGCGCGGTAAACGCCATCTGTAGTACGATGCTACATTTTAGGATTACGTATGCTCCAACAAGGATTCGTTTCATCAAATAGATATCCATATATTTAAATGGACCTTGTTGGAGCATACGTAATCCAAAAATGTAGCATCGTACTACAGATGGCGTTTACCGCGCCATTTGTGGTATTTTCCATATGCGCACACTTTATGTTGCCTAACTGTACCTACTTATGTACTAAAATTCATCTGCCATTACTTGTCAGATGAACAACATCATGTGGTAGTAGTTACTCAAATCTGAGTATATGTAAACATATTTATGTTACATTAACAATCACCGTCTAATACACCTGCACTTTTTGCATTGCATGCCTATAGTAAGTCTTCTTCCTATTCAAAGTTACAAAAATAATGTGCTGCTTTTTTTTGCTAAGCTAAGGTAACGTAGAAAAAGATGGCCCCTTCTAAGTCAAAAGAGAACAAAAAAAAATAACAAAAACCTCTACAGGGTGAAGTGGTTCTAGTTCGCACACCTCTAGAATTCAAATAATTCATTAAACTTCAGTGCAACCACAAAGATAAATATTAACATAAAATTTCCATCACTGGGACATTATAGAACGTTTTGCTGCAGATACAGTAATGATTTTACCAGTGAACTATCTAAGTAATTGTATTGATTTTAAAATTACTCCGAGTACTCTTTTGATTTAGAACTGATTATCTCGATTGGCTTAATTTGTTGATATTTTAAAAATTTCTAGATAAGTCTGTATCCTTCGAGAAATCTGTCTCATTCAGTGATGAACCACCTGATATGAATTCTCCAAAACAACACAGTCCTCAACATGCAGGTAACCCAGCTATGATACTTAGGGCTGTAGTGGATGGCATGTAATTTAATTGAATCATTGGTTGTATGCACTTTCATCCATTTTATTGCATGTTTTGTTATTAGCTAAAACTTTTATGTGGTAATAATAGTTAATTAACCTTTATATATGTATATTATTGTAGTGTCTAACAGAAATTAATAAACCACAACTATAAGCAGATATAAAAAACTTTCTCTTTTACATAAAATGTTTTCGATTGTTAGCGGTATTTATTTTACAATACATGAACGTTCATATTTATCTCCAAATAAAATAATTCCAAGTGGTCTGTGTTCTGTCGAAACTGCCAGACACGGATCGCGATTTCGATCTTTTTGGATCTCATCAGCGCGTCAGCGCTCCGACAGAACACAGACCAACTTTTACCTGCTGTCTTAACAGCGCGTTTTAGAAAATACTACAAATGGCGCGATAAACGCCATCTGTAGTAGGATGCTACATTTTAGGATTACGTATGCACCAACAAGGTCCATTTAAATATACGGATATCTACTTGCTGAAACGAATCCCGGCGTAGCTAACCTCAATGTGATAGGCACGTTAGCATAATCGCATCGTTTCAGCAACTAGATATCCATATATTTAAATGGACCTTGTTGGAGCATACGTAATCCTAAAATGTAGCATCTTGCTACAGATGGCGTTTACCGCGCCATTTGTAGTATTTTCTATATTTATCTCCCTTTGATAGTAAATAAAATAACTAGTTAATGATATGTGTAGTAAATTTCTGTACCAAGAATCTAATGTATGACAAAATTTGCGAAGAAAAAAGAACAAAATTAACTAAAATAAAATTGTAAAGTCACCATCATATCATAAAGTCGTCAGTTCAAAGTAAGATTGTCAACTGTTCCGAATTTTCCGGAACGTCTTGCTTTTGCAGATAGTTTAAGCCATCCTGTCAAGTACTATTACAAAGCAAATATTGTCCTTAATTGTAACAACAAACTAAGCACATTTGTATATAACTAATTATTAATAATTTATATTAGATATTTGAGAATCTACAAAATACACTTTTAACAACCTTTTTAAAATTCCTGAATTAACTATTCGCGATCCTAGTACGAACATCACACAGCGCAAATTATACTTCTACGTTTTTCTTTTTATACGATTTTTTTTATAATATAATACAATCTGTACAAAGTTTAGTAACTTTATCCCTATTATTAAACCGAAAAGCCAAAGCAACATAAGATTTTCACATACATGCTTTTATAGCTAACTTTGCACTACAAATAGATTAGTAAAACTTTCTGTATACCCAAAATTATTTACTCTATAATGTTTTACACCCTTACACCTTCCATTTATAATAATTGTAAGATCCACTATTGTTTGTTTTAGTAAAAGTACAGTAGCGAACTAAACTTACAGACTACATAAGAGTAGTAATTAGGTACAACTAAAATTTCGATTATAATAGAAATAATTAGCATGCCGCAAATTAATTAATGCAGGAAAACAACAGATTTGAGGATATACAATACAATAATAATAGATTACCAATTTGTTGCACATTGCACGCTGTATACCTAGTGTACCAGCTTATGGTAAGGAACAACTAACAGTGTTTTATAATATGCTGCCTCTTATAGCGGATACTAAACCTCCAAAACCTGCGATTAAGTCTTCAACCCTTCCTAGGACTTCCTCTCAGGGTGAGTGGATTTTTATTAAATTATTCCTACTTTTAACTCTCCAGTTTCTCCTGACGAGGCATGCACTAGTTTAGTTTTTTACTTTTTTTCATGTTTATTAAACAGCTTTTAGTAAAACTTCTTCCTCGTATACTTTAAATCTATATATACTATGAATCCGGATATATTTAAGAGGAAGTTCACAATTTTTAATGGTTTAACAGCGATAATACCTTTTTGTACCTTTTATAAAATTCATATTCTACTTGTCTTATCTACTACAGATCGTTTTATTCTTCGAAATAAAATGCTAATTTAGTTTTATGTGAAGACACTTTCAAAAAACCGAAAGATCATTTTATTATTTTTTTCTTTTCGTTGTCCATTTGAGCAGTAACACTTTAAAAGAGTTTCCTACTTTTTCTAAAAGGAATGATGCATATTTAAGATTCCGTTTCTGTACTGGCACCTTTCCAGTTCTTTTCTTTATTCCTCGGGGAATTTACTGCTTTATTCCACAACGCGTTTCGTATTTCCTTCGAAGGTATATGTTAAATTTGAACCTTCTTTGTGTTTATCCAATACGACTGAAGTGGTAACGCTAACCGTGTTTTCAAGGGGTTGAAAGATCTTTTCACCGATTTTGCACTTATTTATTCTTGCGTACGTAACTTATTTATAAATAATATACTAAGTATGTAAAACTTTTAAAGAATGTGAATATTATAAATTTCAAATACATAACTTTATTCCTTGAAGAGGATTACTTTAATAAGCTAGTAATTTCGATAAAGAAAATGAACCTTTCGTATCATTCCCTATTTCATTAATTCTTGATCTAATCAAATATTTGTTATCTATGTACTAGAAAAAGACAAATATAAGCCTGCACCACCTCCAAAGCCTGCTTCATTGTCTCCAGGACAATACGAAGGACGACTTATATATCGCGACTTGCAGCTGACGCCGGAAATGTATAACCAGCTCAGAGGATTACAAAAGAAGGCAAAAGATTTGCGATCCGAAGTTCGCAATTTAAGAAGGATGTCCCAGGCTCAAGCCCACTCCGTTCGGGAATCGATAAGGGATACCTTTATCAAAATAAGAGCCATGCTGCTTGCAGGAGGCGAACAGATTTGGCAGGCTGGTAAGTTTTTACTTAAATTCGCGCAATTTCAGCGTTGTTCTATAACCTTTCCTTCAAAATTAATAAAACAAAATGTAGAATAATATGATTTGAAACATTTTGACATTTTTCTATGATTCCATTTCTACATTATGTCTAGGAATGGATCAAGAGCGAGTACGTCTAACTCGTGAAGAAGACTTATACAAGCAAGAAATGTTAAGATTAGAAAAGGACCTTACGGATTTGGAAGCTTCGGTAGAAGAACTTCGTGGCAATGTCATCAATAGAAAGACGAGGGTGAATATGTCGGATGTTGAAAATATGGCGTTGGTCCTGAGCAAAAGTTCAAAAACCGTCGCTGACCTAAAACTGCGGTAACTACTTTAAAGCACCAATAGAAACTTTCTTCTTGCCACAGCAAATAGCATTCCTTTTTCTAGATTTCCTGGCCTTCAGGATAGCATGAAGGCTTTTTTGAGTGCTGAAATGGACAAAGTTATGCGTGAAGAAAAATTCCTTAAAGAAGAACCTGAAAGACTCGAGAGCGCATTGAGAAGGTGTAAAAAATTAACTGGAACCTTGGTCACCCTTAAAAGGTAATACATTTTAAAACGTAATCTCATATTCCATAATAAACAATATACCTACATCGCCTGTAAAAAATAAAAATCTTTTATGGTAGAAAATGACATTTAAAAGAATAATTAATATCTTAAGCAATTTTGTTAAGGATATGTGGGTACTTTTACAGTGGTTTCTGAACAGAACAACCGAAAGGGATGTTTTTTCTACAGAATACATTTAAATCAATAAATATACATACGAATACCAATCATATATTTTTGAATGTGACGAATTTCCATGTCGCTCTCCCCAAAAAAGTTTTAATTTAACATCTCAAAAAATTTATCTTAAGCGACTGTTACTTATTTATATATTAATATCAGTATAAAAATGTTGTTAACCTCTTATTAACGAAGAAAAGGGGGCAACACCTTACTGCAAAATTCTGAAAAGTTACTAAAGTTGCACAAATTACATTTACTATATAATACATAATAAGCAGCCCCTACGTACAATGACTTACACAAGTTTTAAAATGATCCAAACTTAAATGAGTAAGTATTTAATCTAATTAAAACTTAGATTGTTTTCCGTCCAAAGATTAGCTAGCGTTCAAGAACAGCGGCTTCCGTGTTCGACTCCACCAGCGTCTTCAGATGGTAGGGTTTCGCCAACAAGTAGCGAAACGCCACCCGTGACTCCTTCAGGACAGCACAGCAAAGTATGTGTCGAATGCACTTGAAACTAACCACTGATGTGTAACCTGCATGTCGATGTTGTTTTGTTGAATCAATTTATATTTTGCAGAACTAACAACCGATAATTATATCGCTGGCTAGATACTGAAAAAAAAAAATAATCATAGATACCAGTATGCGTATCTCTATAAATTGATTCCGTTGTTAAATCGTCTTCTCCGTATCGGAAGGGAGAGAAAGAGAGAGAGAGAAAGAGAGAGATCATTGTTTGTCGAAGGTGATTCTGAATAATAAATTCGTTTAGTTTTTCCACATGCATTTCCAATGTTACCTTAGCTATCATTTACCTCATGTGTACAGCGCTTTGCTATTTTGCAAAACAACAAAAAATAGATTGAAATACACGGACTTTGCATCTAAATAATGAGAAATATTCACAAGAAATCCCTGACTCACCTAATGACATTACAAAACTTTTGAAACTATTACCTACTCTCGAAATATCGAAATTATTACCCCTTGTGGTTAAACGCTACATTTCGAAGACTGGAGGGTGCTGAAGTTGGCCCTATTTTAATTCAAGGGGTAAGGATACTTCGTTTACTTTCTGTAGCGATGTGACCTTCAGTTTGACCGACGCATAGTAGAAAAGAACAGCACTAGGCCAGAAAAGGAAGGAGACAACTCTCGGTCAAACTCTTAACCGGTGAGGAGCGTAGAATCCGTACAGTACTGCACGGAAAAATTGACCATTTTATCCACTACAGTTGCATTGCTGAAATGTGCTGTTTTTGGTATTATTTACCACTGAAAAAATCAACGAGATGTTTATTTATATTTGAAGACATATTAAAGGCTTTAACGCTTGTTTTCGACTCACACTGCTATTCATGATTGAGCAAAACTTTTGACAAGTACTGTATGAAAAAGGATGTTTAATGAGCAAGAGTCGAGAGTACAATGAGCTTTTTTCTCCCTACCTACGACTTTACCAGCGCGCATCCAAGACATTGGAAGGGGCACATCGCTAGAGAAAGTAAATGAAGTATAATGTGTAACGCGTAACTGACAGTAGAAACAGGAATATGAATAAGCACAAACAGCATAATGAACGCCATCTAAACACGTTTGCTGCGTACAGATCAATAATGATCAAGAAGGTCATTTTTTGATAAGAATATCTACTTGTCAAACTGAACCAACGGACTTATCGTCGACGATTGAGTAGTGTTTATTTTTCATTTGTATATTTGAATATATTTCTATTTTAAACACAAATTCGGTCAATAAATAAATTAGCTTTTCTTACTTTGATCGTTGTACTCGCCAACTTCAGCATCTTCAATATATGTAAATGGTAAACAAAAAGTAATTATTATTAGAAATTTCTGTTTATTTATAAAAAATAATAGGATTGGCAGTGTATTAAATGGGATTGATTGGATATAATAGATACAGTTTATCAAATTGTCACGTAACAGGTAAGTTACCCATTCGATAACCGTAGAGAAGGTATTTCAGTTGACCTCAAATAAATACATTTGGATACGAAATTGCCCTCACAAAAGGTACTCACCATACTCTGTACCTATACTATAAACAAACTTAAAAAGGTATTCTTGAATCCTCTAGAGTCTACCGTAAATTGAAAAGGAGTACAACTGTATTTATGAAATAATTCCTTATTGATTTTCAAATTTTGATTCAAGCTAAGGAAATAATAGGCTAGAAGAAACCTTCAGAATATATTATCATAAATATTAAATTCTCTCAATGTCGCCTATAAAATGTGTCTCTTCTAATTTAAAAAAGACGCTCTAAGGATAACGTTCAGATTTCTGGTGTATCTATCAAAAGTTTTCAATATCCGTTTAATTACCCTAATACTTTATCGCCTTATTCTAAAACTTTTCAAATACATCTCTTATAATGATTAATGTTGTCGTGTAAAGGAAAAGTAAGAGAAAAAGTCACAATTGTTAGTTAACTACTTTTGTTAGGTATCAAATATTTCCTTCAATAAATTCATGTTATTCTTTTCACCCATTTCGTCTAGGTGAATTATAACGGTAGAAATACTTTTTTTTTGAAACCCTAAACGTATTTAACCAATAATAATAATTATATCAAATACCAATTAATTTCGAATTAAGAAAAAAATATAGTGCAAATTATTTTATTATTTTGTTTATATTGTTGGAGTTCTTTTACAGAAGCAATATTTTACCGTTCAGTGCAATTCAGGGAAAAGGGTAGTAGGTATCTATGTAACACAATGGTAAATCAAACTAACCCCCATGTGTAACTTATTATTAGATATGATTAACCCATATCAAGCATGTGCAACAAATTTAGACATTAGAATAATAAAATTCCTGTGTTATTCCCCCGCCCCCCGCCCCTCTTTTATTAACCTTGCTACTAATTTGCACAACCTTTGAAACGTGATTTTATCTTTTACATAGTATGGCTGGAAATGGAGTTCACACTTCAAGGAAGCTATTACGACCCACGAGTAAAAAATTCGTTTATCAATAATGCTTGCTTTCCTTTAAATTCGTACATGTTATGAACTGTTAAAGAATTAAGTACGTTTATGGTTTATTGGTCTTTCTGATCTATCGAAATTTATTTCATGGAATTCAAGCATTTTCTGTCACTATTATTTTGTTAATCTTTGCATGTTGCATACACAACATAAACTATTACATTTTCACATTTGTTAACGAAGTAATTGTTTTAAACTCTGAAACAAAATAGTTAAATAGAGTATTAATGAGACCATATACACATGTTTGGTGAAAGAAGATTGAAACAAATTCACAAAATAAAAGGTTATTCTAAAAATTGAATAATTTCTTGTTAAATGAGATACAGTTTGGATATGTTGGATCCGCCACACATTCGTTTCTAAAAGGCGTATATTAACACAAGTCTCTGTATCATTTCTCATTGAAATATTTATCAGTGTAGTTTTGTTGCAAAACATGTATAATTAATGCATTCAAGATACATTAATATCAAACAATATGAACATAAACGACTTTCTCATTTTAAAGCAGTATTAATTATTTCCATAAAATTAACGTCCAGTGAATGTTATGGAACTTGCTCCCTTTTTAAAAAAGACCAATAAATTATTTATTATGAACGGTTTGTTTGTTTTTCTTATGAATATTTTGCACTGCAATTTGACCTTATCCACTAAACTCTGTCTATTGCACATGTTCTATCTCTTAATTATCAAATTACTTGAATAAGTTGCAAACAAACCTATTATTATTAAAAGTTAATATTTATGTATTTTATAAGTTCATGTTTATATACCTCTTTCCTTATAGTAAGGTGTCATTGGAAATGTTATTGATTTTTCGTACATTTCGAACAGCTTTCATTGTTATACAATTGTTTGTAAAATCAACTTAATCAACTTGATTTTACATTCGATTATACAGCATAAAAAACACGTGGTTCATCGAAAGCAAACACCACCATAAATATACATATGTATCTTCAAGGAAATTTATAAATCAAGAGAATTTACTTCTTCAAATCTGATACTATTAACAATTTTTTTTTTTTGATATAATTACTTACAATTGAAGTGTCTCCTAATTTAAAAGTAATTTCGAAACAACAGTTACCATAAAAATTGTTAATGTGTCAGCTTCACATGAATTATGAGCTTAATCTGTAGGTTTTTTTAGAAACGTCCGGTATATCGCTTGAAATTTAGGGCACTTTTCTCGAACAACTTTACAACCTTTACAGTGAACTTACATATTTTATTGTATACAATTCGTCACAATAATTCTTACTGCCGATTATAGTTTTTCTCTTTGATTTAAGTTAAACTACTACCGTACGATATTATTTTTAATTTTTCGTAGAAATTAAGTGAATTATTACTTTTACCGTAATATTTTTATTTTGTACGTACAATAGCTCTGTAGTGTGTAGCTTTGTGCTTGATTTTGAAGAAATTTGGAAAGTAGTTACTTAATAACATTTTGTTGCGTTCTTTTGGCGAATTCGACCTTACTATAAGGGAAACACTATATGCATGATTTTGCTTTATTTCAGTTCATACTTTTCAATAGTTTCTCTTACAGATCTCCTGCATGGATCGCATGTTTCTACAATGACTGCCGTTCTTGTTTCTCTTACAATGACCGACAACTTCTAACTATCAAACTGAAATTCTCAATAATATCCACACATTAATAATTCTTAAACTTACTCAAAATATCGAGGAAAATGTTGAGAATTTCGGTTAAGACATGTTTGTTAACATACTGTGCTGATTATATGTGTTCTTTTTTTTTTAATAATCTGTTTTATTTGCAATTTATTTAGATGTTGTTTCAGTTGGATACACAACGTAAACAGTAGTGAGAATGACTTTATTTTGCACACAATACTCTTTTAGAACGTGAAGGTAAACAAACGAGTTTCTATTATTATCATACAGAATGTTAAGTATCACATTCATTGTAGGTAGTTGTCAAAAATTACATTCTCATTTTGTGTGGAATTTTCTGTTCCAACGTAAATCACTAAAATGGTCCCTATAATTGCTTGCATTTATGTAAATTTAAAAAACCCTAACAGTTTTAGTTAGTTTTCAAAATTAAAAAGAAATACGTTCTCCATTCGAAGAAAATTTATTCGACCATCTTAAAGTTACTGTATAATGCAAATTAAATGTTGTAATTTTTGTAATAATTTAGCAGAAAATACCATACAAACTACATAATACCTAGTAGGCGTATCAATTTACATATTTACCCCTAAAACGCTGTTTTGACACGTTTTATTAATTTAACATTAACTGTCCATCGAGGGACTAACATTCGTCATTGACGTAATGAAGTCCCGGTGATCAGTTGAAAGACAAGAAGTGTGATGAGTTTAAGTTTAAGTTTTATTCACTCCGGTTTTTGTATTTAGCCCTCTACCAGCCCACGTATGGGGACGATCGTCATCGGGGGAGACGGTACCAACTCCTCCGACAGTTGCCAGCGTCCGGAGAACGCACTCGACGCTCTGCTAGACGAACTCCAAACATTCTCGAAGCCCCATCCTCCGCTGAGTACTCAAACATCCACTCAGTCGGTCATCAATTCTGACACCTCGTCAGATCCACCAGCTATACCTGTTAAAGGTATACCTGCAACCAATAGCAGCGTACACTTCACACATCCCCCTACCATGTCAGAAATCGGCAGAAAAGGAAGCATGGACTCTGCCACCTTCCTGCCAACCCAAAATCTTACCATCAGCACCATACCAGGAAATCTTAGGCGTCTCCATTCTTATCCGAGCGGATCAGACACAGATAACAGTCCTCCAATACAACCCTTGCAACGCACCACATTAGATCCCAACCGAACAACCGGAAAACCGCCGATTCCAGAAAGAAATGCCGAACTTCTTCAGCATCTTACTGCTTCCGGTAAAAGAATTCCTCCACCTCCGCCACCTCGAACTAGCTCAAAGTCTCCCTTAGCATCTCCCACATCGCCCAGTTTACCCCCGCGATCTCCAGCAGTGGGATTACAACACATTCAAAACGTACAGAACATGAGTGAGAAAGGTACCATGTCACAATTCGAGGCAGCAACGCAAAACTTGGGTCTGAGCACGCTACGACGTAACATACCAAACAGATCTATGCCAAAAGACAACAAATCGCAAACGTTACCTAGGAATATCGGTTCAAATCTTTCAACGCATCAAGAAACGAAAGAGGGCGAGTTACAGAACGTCAGCAGCAGCAGCTGCGAAAGCGTCAATTCACAGGACGGTTCGAAGAAAGGAACTCGCAAAGAGGAATTAGAACAACGTCATAAAGAACTACTCAAAAAGCAAAAGGCTCTTCAAGAACAGTACGCCCGATTGCAGCAACTCCAAAGAGGTAATAACACGTTAGCAGTAGTTCCTCCTCCGTCAGATCAGTTGCTCAAAAAGACTGGAAGCGAGTCCAATCTCATCCAAAAAATGGGTCTGCAAATGTCAACGACACAGATGACGGGATCTCTTACTCATTTGCCTAGCACCTCAACTATCACTTGCAGTGATGCTGCCAATAAGCAAACGCAAGATAATTCCATGCAGCCAAAAGAAACCATGCAATCAGAAGAACTTTCTTCTGGTAATAATAGCAGCAGTTCAACCACTAGCAAAGTCTACGAAACGGATATCCTGTGACCCTTCTACTTAAGAAAACAACCGTTGTCTGTCTGTTGAATGTTATCATCATATTTCACTTTAACTACTATCATCATTATCATAATTTATTGGCAGCCTCTCGATCGATGTTATATGTATTTCATCATGTACGAACATACATACATCTAAACGATGTCATGTCAATAATACTCATAATTACACATCAATACGCAAATAAACAATTATCCTACTTATCGCTCTATTGGTTGTAAAGTATTTTGTACATTTAATAAACACATTTTGCTGACGACATAGATAAATAAAATATGTATTATGTAAAATGTAGTTGGGATTCAATTTTAGATCAAAATTTTACTACCGTGCACTTCGAAACAATGTGCTAAACTTTATCTTGTAATCACTTTGTGTAAAGTTTCTCCGTTTACGTCATTTTATTGAGGGCTAATTGGTGTTTTTAAATATAAAAGAAGTGAACAATTTTTGCTCATCGTAGATTGCACAAACAAAAATTCTCTTAGAATGTGCGTACATATTTATTCCCAAAATTTATTCCGTTAATCTAAAAGAGTTCCTAATACTAACCAACCCGGTTTAATTAGATATATAGTTTTTACGTAATTCGATTCAAATCTTTAACAAATTTAGGTACCTATTAGAGGGTGCTAATTTATTCTACTTGACACTCCAATTACACATATTTCGCAGTACACAGTATCCAGTTTGGCACCGAAATGCCCATCGAAACTTATAACAAATACCAAGTAAATTTGTGAAAACTCAGCTACGACAATTGTCACTCTTCAGTAATTAATTATCTCAGGTCGTCTTCTTATGTGCTAACGCTGAGCTCAAAGTTGCCAAACACATGATTTAGTACCCCCTGGATCAATTGAGCACCCTCTAGTAAATTTAAATCTGTTAATTTTCCTTTTTTGCGCTTATTAAAATTTGTACGCACTTGAGACTCGAAAACCTTATTTTAATCATACTAAATCTTTATGGTACTTACATATACATATGATAGATTTACTGTGCCAAATGGTATTAATTTTTTGCGATAATGTTAGTTCGATTACCCAATAATAGCACTCCACATGTGATAAAAAACATACACACAGTCTCATATACAAGCTTATTTTTTAGGTTTTGTTCGTCGTCACTTTTGTAAATACTATAAAAAATTATGTGCAAAAGTATGCAAGGATAAGTTATTTTTTGTTTTTGTTTTGTTTTTTTCGTCGATACGTCATTAAAACACTGATGAGGCAACGAATAACGAAATGAGTGTAATTCATTCGAATATTTTTTTGTTACCAGATACTACATAAAATTAAATTATTTTTGGTTTCGGAGTAAATGATTACAGACGTATTTCAAAAAAATGTTATATACAACCTAATAGATGTAACTCGCCAGATGTATTGACCGTATATGTAAAGTCATCTTATTTACTTGAAAATCGTTTTTTGTACATAAATACCCTTCGGCCAGTTGAAAGTGATTGATAATGACCGTAGGTGCCAATGTATTTAAAGAATCATTAAATAAAATATGTTAAGTAAGACTGATCTTATTTCATGACAAACTAAAAACTATAAAACCAAACAATAACTTGAATAAAAATATATATGTATTCGAACTCGAATATTTTTTCTCTAAAGTTTTTATCTGGAATTTTTCTCTAACTCAAAATTCAAATTTCTTTCTCTTCGATATCCAGGTTTAATATATTAAAGGAAAACTGTTTTTAAAAATAAATTTGCTATATATTTGAAATAGTTTCTAATAATAAATAAGCGCACCATGTCAGTCGATACGTAAGTATATGTGGTTTTAAAAATGACACTTTTGTATCATACTAAAAGTACATGATAATAATGAATATGGATTAAAAAATAAATATTCCGGACAAAGGTATACTATTATATTCTATACACCTCTTTCACGATGGTTTAAATCGTAATCACATTCGAAACGCTGAAGCAATGGTAAGTATTAATAAACTGTAGCATGTTTTTGGGCATACTAACTAATATTATAAATCGAATAAGGCTTTGTTTGTTACAATTTCACGCCTTAACCAATCAACCGATCATCATGAAATTTTGTACACATATTATTACGAGTACAGAAAAGGAGATAAGGTGCATCTTATCCAGGAAAACCACTGTTCCCGAGGGATAGAAAAAAAATTAGTTTTACAACTCATTTCAAACGGTTAGAGATGTTGTAAAAAAGTTTGGCAAATACAAATGGGCATGCCTTTATTGCTCATATCATATGTAAACTCTTAGGACAGTATTTAAACTTAAGAAAAAATTTCGATGATCCTTGACACGTATTTACGACATCAACGCGAGCGAATAATAATAGTTGCTAAGAACAACATTAAAATATTTATTGTAAATTCTAACTGACGTCCTTCCGTAGTATTTATTTAGTAAAAGAGTCATTCGAATAAATTTGCATAGACACACATCCTTCCTTTGACTTTGCATGCACACCTCGTATACGCACGAACAATCGACAATCGGTGGAAATGATAGCACGCGCGTTCCGCCCACGTTAAGATAATAGGCAGCAGGGTGTGCGTGCTCGTTGACTATATAGTACTCGTGCTCCTGTTCATTACGACTTCTCATTGTAGTATCGTGTCACGTCACATTGCCACGTGCCAAATTCACCAACCGAGCAATATATACACACGTATAATATGTACATATATATATAACATAGAAACCGAGTATACCGAGATCGTAGCATTTCATATTCAACAGCAGACTTATTAGTGAACGTGCCCATAAACAATGCAATAGACGTGCGCGTCTAGCAAATACATATAGAGGGTGATTTTCATATTGAGACTCCCAAGTGTGTGTACGATATCACCATCAGAATGGGCGATCAGTGGCGCCTGGTACCTAATGAGCCACAGTAAAACTCCTTTTGCGACGCCTAAACTTCGACTGGATGCTGGAAAAGATCAACTTATGGAGATTTAACGTGCGCCGCCTTACCATGCAATGGTAAATTCACACGTCAAACCAACACAGCTGAGCCATGATGGTATGATAAGGACTCCCTGGGGTCTCTTTTCCGTCAAACGGATTGGTCCCAGGAAGCCACCGATGCGGTGCCTGGAGGTTAACGAGGCGAGTAACCCCCAAGTTCGGGCCTATCTACAGCGTTCAATGCAGGGACTACACAACGAACCGAACGATCCGATGCACAGCCCCCTAACCCAGCATGCGGGCTGTACCCAACTGCCACCTCGAGTCCAACACCAATTGGCGGGGCAGGAATCGAAGCTAGACTCCTGTGGGCTCCCCGCCTCCCTAGTACCGGTATAGGCTCTCCGGTCGCCATCAGCTACTCCAGAGCACCCCTCGCTGGGTGACATCCGTTTTGCTGTACTTGCGCTATCACCGGACATCCTGCAGACTCCTGGCTCGCCCGAGCTACTACACTTTTCGCATCTACTCTGCTTTCACCATACACTGTGGAGCCCCCCCAAAGGGTCAGACTGCACACCCGATCCACATAATGCCACCGGCATTCCACTATGCTTCACGTCGTACCCCCCCCTAATGGGTCAGATTACCCTCAACTCTGTGACCCCGCCTGATGCGCACTCCTGCCAGGACACTTACTTCGCCTCAGACATGGGGTAGGAAGGGCGTCTACCCAGAGGACCTCTGACTTTTCGGCGCCTGTCGAGGTTCCCATGCGATTGCCACTACTGGTGTTGGTGGCCGCACCGAGAGAGCCTCCTTTTCGACTTGGCAGGCTTTATTGCAGGGGGTTAGGCGAGGCCCCCGCGTTAGCCTACCTCGTCTGCCGCGTACTTTCCCCTCGGGGCTTCCGCGGCGCTCTCTGGCACACCAGACGGGTGCTTCCGGACCTTCGCTCGTGTCCGTCGGCTGCTTCCCACAATCACTTTGCTTCCAGATGCCCGGGGGTCCTTTAGCTTCGTCATAACATGTGTATGGGTACTGAGCCCCCCCCCCACCGCGACAAGGTGAGAACCCTGAGGGGGTGCTGGAAAAGATCAGACGTCACGAAAGGGAGTTATTACGAATTGGAATTGGAAGCAAGCAGACGTACCTACTTACTTGGGAACAGTAGAAGAGAAACAGAAAACAACCATCAGGGACCGAACAGTCTTTTTCAAGATTCACTAGCGGATCTTGACTTTTAAAAGTCCTTCAGAATTTCACCAATAATAACAACATGTAACATGGATACGGACAGCGACCGCTTCACCCAACCGGGAAAGTTCCACCAAAAGACAGACTCCATTGAAATAGTTTTAGGCTACTATCAGGACAAGAGGCAATGGATTACACCAACGAAGATGAATGGCTAGATCTAAGCAGAGATTTTCAGGATAACGACATAAAGACATCTAAAATTGTTAACACAAGAGATGGGATTAAGATTTACTCACTCGTTTAGAAAGACAGAACAACAATTATCAAACTTCTAGACATGTGCGACGAAGAATACTATATCATCAAAGGTTCAAACCTACAACAGTCAATCCACGACCACTTCAGCAAACAGGATAAGATGCCGGGATAAGAACAGATATCTCGTACGCTGCAGCAAGAAAACAGACTTCAAATAATCCCACACTAATCGATATCGCCTCAATAACCAAATTGACCAACAACACGAAAACTTCTTAATCCTATTCCAGGGCTTAATATTGGGTAGTGCCCAACATTGAATCACACAGATGTGGTTGAAGATGTCATTTGAACATGTACACGGAATTGACATGGTTTTTTAGTGGATAAGGTTTCCACTTTAACCCGCACATAATTGATTACCTACATGAAGGACATGAATTTGTATCGTCATTGAAGTTACCACAAGCCAGAAAGATCGAGGTCGTCCATTCGGGGAAGTCCACGGAAAGTACTACACATGTACAGTTAGCAATCGACAAAGGGCAATTAAAAAGCATACAATTGTATTAAAATAAGGTCATTCAACAATCGGCCGTCCTCATAAATGTCTATAAGTCGATTGTTATGACAATGTTATTATCTGTTAAAAAAATTGTCACGCTTTATTTCGAAATTGTCATAAAACTAAATTCGCTAACAAGCACAACAAATTTTATTTTTCAGCGGCATATTTATGTGGTACATTACATATGTAAAGATAATTGTAGGTATCTCTCGAAAATCAATTTTATCCTATTAAGACGTAAACTAGGTCAAATTAATTAAACAAGCAATCAAAGAGACTGCTTCCTATTCTTAAATAATCCAAAAATTAAATAGGCATCTTCAAAAGGGAAAACAGTGAAAGTGTCAGCATAGAAAAATAAAATCAAGTGAAACCTTTTTAATAATAATGACCGACTGATACGCTTTCTTGCGATATTTTATTAACAAATATGATTTTTGAAATATTTAAACGTATGTAGTTGTTTTTAAATTAGATTATTGTTCGCAAATAGTTAAGAATGTGGGATGTTCTAGTTTTAGGGAAATGAGAGGATTAGCTCAGGATAGGAAGGAGTGGAAGTGCGTGTCCAACCAGTCTTAGGACTGACGACCTTATGATGATATATAAATCGTCTAATTAGCAAAAATATTCAAAACATTACACTCCTTAACATATCTCATGTAAAAAAACTGTAACAGAACAAACGCTTTCACAAAATTTGACCATATAAAATATATTATATTTTTACATTATAAATCATTTAGATATTATATCAAATACTGATAAAGTTCAATAAACTTAATACCATCTATGTTTGAACATTGTTGATAACCTTNATTTTGCTCTTGAGTAATTGCATCACCTTGAACAAACAAAACAAACCAAGTGGCGACTGAGTATGGGAGTTAAAAATAAACGTACGATTAGGTATTATCACACACTTATATTTTTTTGCGTATTTAACGATATATGGCACATCATTCATACTGAATCGTATAACAATGACACATAAGGGGGTTGTTATGCTGCATACAAAGTCACTTTCGACGTACGTTCACCCTTCTTGACTACACGTAAAATCATGTGACCTACAATAATATACAATATACGTCTACGACCGATGTACCTACATAAGTTGCGG